GAGCAGCGGTTCTCAACCTTCCTATTGCTACGACCTTTTATACAGCTCCTCCTGCTGTGGTGACCCCCCCCACCAGAAAATTCTTTTTGTTGCTACTTCATCACTGTAATTTTGCTACTGTTATGAATCATAATGCAGACATCTGTGTTTTCTGATGGTCTAAGGTGACCCCTGTGAAAGGGTCATTTAACCCCCCAAAGGGGCCACGACCCACAGGTTGAGAACCACTGCTCTAGAAGTAGCTGGGATGGGGAGGGGAGGTAGGGCAGAGAGGATAGTACCTGCCGGGGGAGATGCAGCTAGATGGGACAGCTGTGGCTGTGCACACGACCTTTTGAAGTTTGTAACGGTGGCCTAGAGAGTGGGAGGCAATGAGGCCTGGCCAAAGCGACTGTGACCGGGGTTGGCACACACAGGGCAGATGCCTCAGGAAGTCTGGACTGTGGGGTTAAAAGGCATCCAGGGGCCAAACTTGGACCTGGTCCTCCAAAACCACCTGGGAGCTCAGGGAGGAAGGGTACCCCAGACACCCTGAATAGTGAATGAGGGTGCACACCTGTAATCCCAGCACTATGGAGGTAGAGGCAGGAAGATCAAAAGTTCAAGGTCATCCTCAGCTACATACAGAGCAAGTTTGAAGCCAGTCTAGAATATATGAGACATTGTCTAAAAAAAGGCCAGACAGACAGAGACTACGCACAAGTTTCTGTTGAATCCTCAGCGAGGCTAAGTAAGAGCGTCTCCCTCCTGGCAAAGGAGTCTGCCTCATCCAGCTCTGTTCCCACGTCTGGCACCCACAAACTGCACCCACCTGCCCTGCAGACACAACCGCTAAGAGAATTCATAAATATAAACAGAGAGAAGTCATCTGAGCAAGCGCAACCAATACAGGATGGGCGTGTGAGAGCAAGTCTGACTTAGTCAGTTCTTTGTGTTCATCCGGGTCTCCCCTTTCTGAAACAAAAGCAGGAGTCTGTGCACAATCGGTTTTCAAGGGACAATTGTTCCCAATGCCAAGTCCACACTGTTAAGCTTATGGGGCGAGAACTGAATTGTTCAACACCCTTTGCTGACCTGCAGGGCTGCCCTGGCCCCAGTAATCCATCTGACACAGGAGCCAATCATATTTCAGGCTGATGTAGTTTCCTAGGCAACCAATAATATAGTCACAGAAACAGACTGTAGATAGTAGAAAGAAACACAGAGCTGGGGAGAGGCACTGACCCATAATCTCCTGACTTTGATGTGACGCTCACCTGCAGAGTCATTCATACTTGATCAATACCTGAAACTCTATGCTATGAGCAACATGGCACCCCAACCCAAGACCCCAGCAGAAAGGGCTGGCATGACCCCTTGCACGCCGTCCAGGAGTTACTGGAATGAAGGCCCTGGAATGTTACTGCCTTCAGGGCCCCCATCGAGCAAGCTCCAAGACCGTGGAGGGCCATCGATCTGGGCACTAGGCCACAGAGCCAGGGTGCAGCTATCCAGGAATGATGCCAGAAGAGATGACACCCACAAGGAGCCTTTGAGACTTAAGCTTACACCCCACTCAACAGACAACTTCACTGATTATTCAGTGTGTGGGGATGGAGTGGGGGTGGGGACTTCTAAGTGTGCCCAGTAATAATATCCAAAGTAAAATATACCTCCTGAAACTTACACTGTCTGTAGCCCATAATAAGAACATTATCATTTCAAACTTCTACATCTATTTATTTGTGTGTGTGTGTGTGTGTGTGTGTGTGTGAGAGAGAGAGAGAGAGAGAGAGAGAGAGAGAGAGAGAGAGAGAGAGAGAGGTGTGAAAGTCAGAGGATAACTTTGTAGATTCAGCTATCTTCAACCCGTAGGCTCTGGGAATCCAGCTCAAGTCATCCGGCTCAGTGGGAAGCACCTTTACTCCGCTGAGCCATTTTGCCAGCCCTAAACCTCTACTTTCTACTTTACCCCTGCCTGTCTGCCTTTACCCCTGCCTCTGCCTGTACATCAGTTAGTACCACGGCCTCCTCACCTTTCCAGTCTCTCTGGCTCCTCCTCCTTGCCTCTGTGGCTCCTCTGGGAACCACAGTCCCATGACTTCACACGTCTGCAGACTGTTTTCTAGCGTTCACCAGCAGCCTGTCCTATGAGAGTTCGAACCCTTGCCCGCTTTGTCTCAGGCTGCCCTGCCACCTTGGCTGACTAGGGGGAAAGGGGTCAGAAGAAGGTGGGGAAGTCCTGGAACTGAGGACAAAGTGCTTGCTGTGGCTTCAATTCGAGGAAGACACATCCCCAGGGGTTCCCCTTGGAAAGAAGGATGGATATGGGGCTCATCAACAGACCTCAATCATCTTCGATGAGAAGTAAGTACTTGGGGGTGGGATTCTCCCTCTCCTCACTACCCATTTCCCATTTGGAAGTGGTTATTGCTGCCATAAGTCCTTCCCAGACAGGGAAGGAGCAGTAAAGCTGCGGCCAGTGGTTTTCACAAAGACCTGGACAGAGAGGAGATATGACCAGCTCAGGGCTTCTCACACTCTACCCCAAGCAGCGCAGGAATCTTTAATAAGCACTGGTTAAAAAGGAGATTGGAATCCGGGGGTAACGACTGAGACCCTGCATCTCTGCCAGAGTTTGATGCTCCGGTTTGTGTACCACCGTGAGGTCCCCTTACACCATAACTCCCTGCTTCATTTCCCTCATCCCAGGTGCCTTCGCTCCCCCAGTTTTCCTCACTCCTCACCCCACTGCTCTCTGAGACAGACACACCTGTTGACTGGAACTACAAAAACCATCTACAAGACACCCAAACTTGAATCTAAGAGGGAAAGTCTTTCGGTCACTCCCCACTCCTCTCTCCGTTTCACCCTTGTGTGTGGTCCTCTGTAAATCCAGCTTTCACCTACGAAACAGAAATGTTCGCTCTGGACTCCTGCTGTCACGGACTGCGTCTGGCGGCAGGTGGGCACACTCTGCACACCCTTGCACACCTGACGCCACCATCGCACACCACTTCTCAGCCGTGACGCCTGCTCTGCTTCTGGATCATTGGTGGGCATGCATTTCCATACACATTACTATGAAAAAGCCACGCCTGCACAGGGAAGAGCTGCTTTCTTAATGTGGTTTTCGTTCTTTTTTTTTTTTTACTTCAAGGTTGGACAGAGCACATCTGTAGGGGAAACAAGTGTCCCCATTACTCAGAGATGGGTGGCAAAGGCTAGCCAGTAGAAACAACACCCCCCAAACTATTTCCCTCTCTCTGGTTCTCCATTACAAACTATGCTGGGGAACAGGGGGTGGGATTTTTGTGAATGAGTAAATATACCATCTTAACAACTGCACTCCAAGACATTCCAGAAGGATCACGTGGTAAAAACAGACTGAGTGGGCCATGGAAACAGTGGATGAGCAGCTTTCCTCTGAAAGTGGCCACTGGGCCTCAAGTTTTACTCAGCTGCCACTATCCCCATGGAACAAACCCTTAAAGACTGTTTTCTGAAAGGACAACATCAACCTAATGGAATCTCTCCAGACTCAGCCCTCAGCCTCCAGAACACAAGGCAGTAACTCAACCAGGAAAGAAGGCGGGGACATCAGGGACCAGGGAACTCAATCTCCAAGGGCTGAAGAGCACCCAATCCTACTTTCCGGCCCCTCCAGTGCTTTGGTAGGTGTCCACTCTGCGAGCTACAGAGCAGGTGTCCTTCACTGATTTCCAATTCAGAGACTTCAAAAACTGAGGCTGAAATTTTCTGTTCTTGAGTCCCACAAGGCAGTGCGATTTTCCGTGCACCTAACAACACTGCACCTGAATGGACAGGACAGCGAGACACAGGGTTCATACATACCATAAAACGCCCAAACATAATACACCTCCACTCCGAGACCCCGCACTCTCGAGTTACGGGATAAAGACAAATGATGGGTGCACACCTGCCCCTCAGAATGACTAGCTTTTCAAAAGCCAGAGCCTGGAAAACCACGCGGTTCAGCCCGGCATTACATCACCACATGGGTCCAGCTTCTCCCCAAAGACCAGTGAAGGGTGGAACCCCCCCCCCCACCTCACCTCCCATGGGGCCCAAACCCTACTCCACAACACAGACCAGTCCCTGCTGTCTTTTAATCTACATATCAAATACTCAGAACTCACAGTGCTCTGCCACCCCCTCAAGCCTTCAGAAATATTTTCCTCTTCGGGAAAGAGGAGCAGACCTCGGAGTGGACTGGCAGACCCACTTCGGATTGCAGCCTTGCTTGCTGAACTGTGACCTGGCAGGCAGACCTCCAAACTAGCCTGGGTTCATAATGGAGACTGCCATAACAGAAACAGCAACTGTAGAGACGCTCATCCGGATAAAGGCCACTTCTGAACACTGTGGTTTAGAGAAAAGATCGGATTCCTGGATCGATGCATAGTCAGGCGCTGCTTCCACCAATGACAAGGCTGTTTGGCTGTCTTTACTAATAATAGCAAGCGGCCTTGTCCTCAGTGTTAGCAGCAGAGGAGTACAGGGTGATGCCTGGACTAGACTGGCTGTACACGCACTCTGAGCTCCATGCCATCTGTCCTGCCGTGCCAATAGCTAACCCAGTACTGCTACCAGGGTAGGAAGATGCCAGCATGCACAATACTCCTCCCAGGAGGAGGCCCGCTCTCCTTGATGCCTCCGGTTCCCTAGCAGGAAATACCAGCGTGTGTGGGTTGGGGGGTGGGGGTGCAGAGAAAAAGATGCTGATAGCGCAGAAGCCCCCACCATGCACCCTGCTACTGAACAACCAAAACCAAATTCCAGAGGGCTCTTTCTGCTTCAGGCAGCATCCTGGGGCTGCAAGATACTCAGTCCAGCTAGGACACAAAACACTACGAGCAGCAGCCACCAGGTAAAGCCTTCCAAGGCTTCCCAGGCCAGCCTAGGCTTCACGCTGCACCGCATGGGGGAGAGAAGCACTAACAAAGCCGGGCAGCCTCTCCTCCCCCCGGGGGCTCCGGGCGGCAGAGCACTGCACTTACATGGCCTCAGAAACCTCCAGGTTCAGGTCACTAGCTGGGGCTGGCTGCAGGGACTGCGACCCTCCCATCCTCGCTGAGCCCTGGCGTGCAGGCTAGCCGCGGGCAGGGCCAGCGTCCTGGTGCGGTTCCTCCAGCCCGGGGCGGGCCGGCGGGCGGCCGGGGCTGCTGCACTGCAGATGGGAGCAGCTTCTGGCATCCGTGGTGGTGGCGGCGACTGGGAGCTGCGGCTCGAGGCCGGAGCCGGCCCAGGGGGCGAGCGCCGAGGAAGTGTGCACGCGCAAGTGGAGCTGGCGGGCGCGCGCCTAGGTGTACGCGTGAGCGTGGCTGGTGCGCGTGGAACTGCCTGAGAGGAGGCAGTGTGAGCCCAAGCACTGGCGTGGTCGGAAAGGATCTTCTCCTCTTAAAGACCCCAGCTCAGCCTGTGTGTTGGGACTTGATGATGTCACCACCACCAAGTGGCCAGACGCCTGCATCTTCACAAAGCTCCAACATTGGCTCCGGAAACCGCTGGGGGGAGGCAAAGACCCTCCCTCTGCTCACACACCAAGCAGCAGCCTCCGAGACTAGCCCAGACCGTCTGCTAGTGTAGCATGTCCTTTGAGATGTAAATGCACTGCCCATTGGCAACTTGAGGCCCCCCAGAGGGCGGGGCAAGGTGGTCTAGCCATAGACAGAGTTGGGGACAGGTCCCTTCTCACTCCCTCCCCCACACTGGAGGAGGGGCTGCAGGAACCAGTAAAACAGGCCACAGTGGAAATTGAGGACCGACCGCACACTTGAACTTTCTTCAGATAGCACAGCTGAGGACGAACCAGTCTGTCCCAGAGCAGCGACCTGGCGTAGCTCTCCAGCTCCCAGCTCACCAGGCCTCCGTGGATACCTTCTTAATTTGACAAAGTCTACAGAGGTTGAGGGAAGCTGGAGAGAAAGAGGCATAGGGCCACCTTCAGAGGCTGGGTCTGTAGTCTGGTCTTTGGCCATGAGAAGAATTTTCTGCAAAGACAAGCCCTATGCCTTGCAGGCTGTGCTCCTGAGTCAGGCCCCTCATGTAACAGAAAGGGAAAGGTAGCTAGCTCTGAGGGACATAGAAAGGCTCATCTCTGATCTGAAACACAGGTTGGCTTAGACGCTGGGGACATCCAGTGCCAGACCCCATCTCCCTACTGGGAAGCAGCCAGGTGTCTTTGTGTATAGCTCTGAATGTTTCCACAGTTGAGCTCTGGCCCTTCTCACTGGAGGCTACTTGAAAAGCATTCTCTTTCCCTGTAAGTGCCGGTGGTGTGGGGACCCCGCCACCCCTGTCTGGCTTACATTTGATGCAATGGCTTTCTGAGCCCTGAACATTTATAACTGACTTTAGACACAACTGCCTATGGGAAAGCAGAAAGACTCATCAAACTTTTCCCACAATTCCTCTACCTATAAGGCAGTTAGCGCATAAGAAATATGTACATATGGCCCAAAATAATAAGAGGAAAGTAAAACTGATCAACGCATACAATAAAATCAAAATAAAGCTACTCAACACAGTTTAAGATTCCCTCCAGTATACTGGCTGCTTTCTAAAAGTGTGGTTAAAGGTGCCTGCACAGGTCAGCACATACAGAATTTGTTACTTGCCACAGGCTCCAGAGCTTGAGGCCAGCTGAGTTTCCCGAGCGCATATTTCTTCTACATGTCAAAACACTACACCATCAAAATTGCTTCCAGGAACCGGTGACATTAAATCTCCAGGAAGCACCGAGGTTTCTCTCTGTATTTACATGGAAATGGCAAACAAAGATGCCAGTCTTGTGGGGAAGGTAACTGTCAGCAGGGCAGCACCTCCCAGGGAGGCCATCACTCACTGTCAAGGGGAGTGTCATCTGGTAGCAAGGATCCTGCAACTTATTTATCCAATCATATTCATGGGGGGTGGGGAGTTCTTTATATTTAAAAAAAATCTTCTGGCTTCTGTCTGCAGTTGGGGATCCAAAAGAACCTTATAGTGTGTAGAAAGAAAAAATTCATCCATGCTAATGTAGATTCCTCTGAGGAGGCCCTTTCCCTGGGTGTGTGACACACAGACTTCAGTCAGGTCGCACACTATGGGGGAAAGGAGGAGTCTCCAGCCTGCACTGGCCCCGATCTGTCCCTCGATGGCTCTATCTTGCCTCCTTAACTTTCTGCCTCTGGAACCGCTCTTCCACGGTGGCCTTGGACTCTGGACCAAGTGGTAAACATCTTTATGACAAAGGGCCACCAAACCCTCGTGAGGCTTGAAGGACACAGCCCCTTCTAAAGGAGGAGATCGTCCATGATGGTGAGGTTCATCAGGAATGAGAGAACCCCCTCAGGGGACCCAGACTGTTCTCTCAAAGTGGGAGGAAATCACCTCATGGGAACCAGACTGTCCCCCTCGAGGGATGCCAGTAACAGCAACTTCTTCAGACCCTCGGGCAGAAGCAGAACTGAGAATAATGTCTCTCGGCCTGGCCAGGATCACAGGCTCTCTCAGTGCCGCAAAGCCAGCCCTCCTCTTCTGCCCACTACCCATTCTTGGAGTCACTGAACCCTTTACCTGCTCTACCCAACACAGCCACATAGATTAACTCCGCCCTTCGCCGCTCCTTGTCTGTGACTGGTGTGCTGGGGCTCCCAGAGCTGTGTGACAAAGACACAACCAGAACCTGGTTTGTGCATGGCATTCGGGGTCACAGGGCTTCCAGAAAGGAGGGGGTTTCTGCCAAAAGTGAAGGCTTTGAAACGACACCCGAGTTCAAGTCCTGCTTTTTCCCCTCATTGGCTATCTGCGCTTGAGCCCACACCTAAGCACTCAGCCTGCAGGTACCAGCTGACACAGAAAATGAACACAATACTCTGGAGGACTTTGGAGAAATGAAGCTAAATAAAATCCATAAACGCTTGGGACCAGGTCCTCCTCTCTAAGGACCATGTTCCCTGAGTAGAATACCATTACAGTAACAAGGCATCATTGCAGCCAAGTGCTTCTATTCAGAATCCCAACAACCACACAGTTACAATATAGTGACATATTATATAGTGGATACTATCACCTCGCTGATATTAAAGCTGTACCCCCAAACCATGGCAGAAATAGAGAGCACTGGGAACCTCTAAAGTTAATGACAGCTAAACTACTGCTGCGTGATCCCCTATTAAAGAGCCACTCAGACAGACCAACAGTTACTTTCTGATGCTGACCATGCCCGCAATTTGGACCAAGCTTGATTCTTTGGTAATTCAGCCCACAGAAAATGCCAAGCTAAAGAAATGGGGGAGGGAAAGGGCATTGCGATGGCCTCCAAGTGTCTCCTAAAATTCCTGTGGAAGCCCTAATCTCTGATGTACTGGAATTCAGAGGAAGGGCCTATGGCAGGTGATAAGGGTTAGACCACATCATTACGGGTCCCCTCATAATGGGATTAGTGCCCTTATAGAAAGGAGAAGAGTCATGTAATCTCCTACACTCCCATGAAAATACTGCAAGAAGATGACTCTGTTCAGCCAGACAAAGCCTCAAAGAGTTTGCTCATGTGCACACCCTGATGAGGGATGCCCAGCCCCCTGGACTATGAGAAAAAGATGTTAGCTGTTCCACCTTGAGTCTATGCTGCTTCTCTTACAGCAGCCCACGCTAAGACATGCTGCTTAAGATGCGCTGATGGGACCAAGAATAGGCAACACAGAGAGCAACAGCAGAAAACCCGCGTTCATACCAAGGAAACTCCGAACAGCAGCAGTCTACCATGACAGGACACTGGTATCCAGAGGCCCTGGAGACACACGGGTGGTACCCAGGTCCAGTTCCCTCAATGGCTGTGACTCCATACTCTGCTCCTGTTCCCCTTCCTACCTCCCTCATCTTCCCCAAATCATACAAGGTCAAATCACAGATCTGTGTATATTTGCATGGTAGGAAATTCACCAAGATTTACCGAGAAGTATTAAAACGCCACAGACAGCATCCCAATCACCTGTCCCCTCATTTATTCAAACATGCACCGAGGCCCGTGCCAGGCTCTGGCCAAAGCTGAGGCTGCAGTGGAGTTCCTAGTCCTTTCTTATACCTTCAGTTATCCAGAAAATCCACACAGGTGACTCTTAGTACCCTGCTTTCCTGACTTTCACATGCTAGCTCCTCCTCCCATCCTTCCCACCCTGACACTGGTCCAGTCTCCGCCCTGGCCTCCCTCTGAGGAACAGCAGGAGTATGCCCTCTCTAGGACACATCAATGGTGCCCACCACTTTCAAGCACAACCCTGATAAGACCCGACCTCAAACAGCCCTTCTGCAGGTATTTGAGCCTTGTACACATGCACAGTCCAAGGCCCTGAAGGTAGGCCAAACCCACACAGGTAGGCTCCACTGTCCCCTAGCCTACTGATGTCCCAAGAGAGTCTAGAGAGCCAGATAAACCGGGAAATGCCTCTATTATTTCTAAAATAATTAGCAATCGACTGTATATTAACACCCCTATAATGTTATGGGCCTGGCCTGTGCATGGTGACTCAGACCATCTATTCTCATGTCACTAACTGGCAGCAAGCCTCACAAAGCCCTTTAACCACAAGATGAACCATGGGATCCAGGCTTCACATTCCACAGGGGAGCAAGGACCTGGGACCCATTAAGGGCTACAGAGATGACTTGGTGATCCTTCTACTTGTGTGGTTCCCAGCATCCACACTGGCAGCTCACAACCAACTGTAACTCCAGTTCCAGGAACTCTGGTGTTCTCTACTGGCTTCTTTGGGCTCCTGTACACATATGGTACACATAGACTCAGGCAGACTCACACACATATATATAAATGTGTGTGTGTGTGTGTGTGTGTGTGTGTGTGTGTGTGTGTGTGGTGTGTTTTTCAAGACAGGGTTTCTCTGTGTAGCCCTGGCTGACTTAGAACTTGCTTTGTAGACCAGGCTGGCCTCGAACTCAGAGATCCACCTGTCTCTGCCTCCCAAATGCTGAAATTAAAGGTGTGCACCATCACACCTGAAATAGTTTAAAAAAAAAAAAAAAAGACAGTTAAGCCAGGCATGGTAGCTAGCTAGCGCCCATCATTATAGCACTCAGGTATGGCAGTGGAGTGAGGGTCAGGAATTCAACATTTCCTTTGTCCATACTTCAAGTTCAAGGCCAGCCTGGACTACATGAGACCCTGTCTCAAACATTTTTTTTTTTCTTTTAAGAATGTCTGAAGTACCTCTCACACTCCAAGAAATAAACCTAAGTGTCCTGCCTGGTTTCAGGTTTCAGGGAAGACGACAGCTGCCATAACAGCATTCCTTACCCAGCAATGCTGTGGACCCCTGAGTCGCTAATTACCCAAGCATGTGGGAAAGGAAAGTAGGTCAAATCGCAGAACAGCCCAGGAGAGAACGCTAAGGATGTAAATACAGCTAAAGAACTAGGCAAGGTTCTGTTTCTT